GTGAAGGTTTGCCAGTTTAATGATAAGTCAGGGGTAACTATTAAATATATACGTTATATTTATTGAAAACAACTTTTTACCGCATTTACCATACATACCAATGTTCTGAATTATAGGCGCTTGAAGTACACAAGGGGGGTTGTGTACTTTAAGTGCCTATTAAATATACTAAAGTAATGGTGTAAAAAAATCTGTCTGATTTTGAGGGGGTCAGATAGGAGGCCACCACAGGGTGCTGCTCACTTTAAAACATATAAAGCAGAAATAATGGTTCTGAAACTCGTGATTTTAAAATCCACTGTAAAGTCTCCATCAGAATAAAATATTACAGTAATATTTCAGAGGTCAGGATTATTGTACTTCCTGTTTCTGTTGATTATCTATTTCCTGGATTAGACAGAGTAAGCAGTAAACAGTGTCTCATTAACCATTGTGGATTAGTTGAAGCAGAGCACGCTCTGGGATTAGATGCTGGGATTAATCACACAGCTTTAAGGTAATCTGGTTGAGGAACCCACACATATATACATAATGATGGTTTTAAGATCACCGCAATGCAAAGAGAATCACAGGGCTTCAGTGTGGCACTCACATCACAGAGTCATGCAGGACTTATAAAGCGGAAGCAGCTACACACACTAATGACACTGTGGCAAAGTAATCCTACTCCAGAAGGAAACCAAACACTGCATTACACTGCAGTATGTGATTAAAACAGCTTTCCCTATTAAATCAGTCGAAATGAAGCAAACAAATGAAGCATTTAGAAGTTTTCTCAGGGGGATGTTGTTTCACAATTAAACTAAATGACACAGCCAGGAGAAACTGCAAGACCACTCTAAAATTGTTGTAAGACAAAGTTCTTAATTAATAACAACAGAGACCAAATATTTCTCAGCATTTCCTTCCATAGTTTAGAAGAAGAACATGTAGGTTAGCTTTTGAATTGATTCTTTTTCTCTGTGCCTTTGTGACTTTCCTCTTAGTGCTCTAGTTTGCTTCCAGAGTTCAAAGACATGCACGGTATATTAACTGGTGCATGTGAGAGTGTGAGTGCTTGCTTGTTTCACTGTGTTCACCCGAGGGGAGAACAGGACGGATGGATGACTTTGAGTTATTTTCTAAGCCTGCCTTTCGTGAATCATACACTGTGTTCTGTGCATGCTTGGTTGTCAGATGATCATTGTTTTTTAAATAACTCCCAGACATCTTCTTCCTCTTATTCCTGTGTATCTCAGGTAATGCTGACCGCATCCTATTAGCAGTGTTGGGGAGTAACGGAATACATGTACCGCCG